TTTAAAACGGGATGGAGTAAGAATCTGCTTAGGGAAAGATGTGGGAAGGTGAAATATTGAAGGTTTTCTTGTTCCGCCATCGTTTCGATATCGTGTCAATTACATTGGGTGATTGAATGAAAACATTCCACGGAGTAGCGGAGTTGCGCGGAGAGCGACGGATTGGTGAATGTTGCCTTGGGTGGTGCTGCATTTCAATCGCCGCATTGGAGCTAGAGAACGGAGACAGCTGATACCACATGTCCGCTTTTCCGGTTCCATTTCTGGGGCTGGAAAGTTAATTGAAATCAGGCTTCGCATGTGCGGGCCTCCTCTGTTCCAACTCTATATGCTTGTTGCTTCACTAAACGCAGTGTCATTTTTTGTTTGTTGCACGGGTCGGCCTTTACGGTTGATTTTGCGATTTTGCGGTCTCATTTTTGGTACCGCCAGACGGTCCATAAAATGGGACCGTGAAAGTACTTTTCTTTTGTTCTTTTACTAAGCTGTGCATGCGGTTTCAAAAATGGGACCGGGACCGTGTTTGGGTTCATTTTTTGAAGTTTTTTGTATCAAGGTTGCAGAAGTGCAACCTTTTGGTTTCAATGAAGCTTTGTGGCTTATGGCGACCGGAAGGGCAACTAGGGACGCCCTTTTGAGCGACGCCGGTTTTGAGAAGGTCTTCCGGACCCAGAATTGGGTCCGTCAGAGCAAGCTGTTTTGTAGATGATTTTGTTTCTTTTGGGGCGAGCGGGGTGCATATTGATTGCTGCTTGAACCCAGTTGGAGGTAGCTTTTGATTGTTTCGTTTCGTCTGGTGGCTTGATTGTTTGCTGCGAAAAGACGGCGCATCAGCCTTTTGCAGCCTTAGGTGATTGCTTGAAGTGTTTCTTGCTGTTGCGGAGTTTGTGGGTTTTCGCGCAGGTGGTCGGCTTCCATTTGAATGATTGTATTGTATACTTTACTGCCCCTTGTTGGCCCCCCTTGCCCCTCTAGACTCCTACTGAAGTTTTTAGCCCGGAAAGAACATGAATTCTGATCTTTTCAGTCAATCCCGTTATTAATTAATAGTATTAATTTAAAACGGGATGGAGTAAGAATCTGCTTAGGGAAAGATGTGGGAAGGTGAAATATTGAAGGTTTTCTTGTTCCGCCATCGTTTCGATATCGTGTCAATTACATTGGGTGATTGAATGAAAACATTCCACGGAGTAGCGGAGTAGCGCGGAGTAGCGACGGATTGGTGAATGTTGCCTGGGTGGTGCTGCATTGCAATCGCCGCATTGGAGCTAGAGAACGGAGACAGCTGATACCACATGTCCGCTTTTCCGGTTCCATTTCTGGGGCTGGAAAGTTAATTGAAATCAGGCTTCGCATGTGCGGGCCTCCTCTGTATTCAAGGTAGTGTTGCTTGTCTGTTCGGAGAGTGTCATTCCAGCTGTTCCCAATCGCAAAGGAGACAGGGTTAGCCCTTTCTGCCTCTGCGGCAAGGAGCCGTAACTCATTGCATTTGGTCTGAAAAGCAACCAGGTCGGTATCTGGTGCTTTCCTACGTAGTTTTCTATCAGGGAAGACCCGCTCTTGCACATGTTGCCTCAGAATCGTTTCTGGTGGTCGTTGGAAGAGCACTCTATTCGCTAACTTCGCGCGGTTGACTTCCCAATGAGTAAACATATGGCGATGCTGTATTTGCTGCTTGAGTTGTGCAGCATACTGGTGGAAACTTTTGGTCGTGTGCCACAACCTAAGGAGGCTATAGTTGGACGGCCACTCAAGTGGACACAGAGTGGCTGTCTGCTTCCACATTGCAGGAGTAAGTCCTTTGGGGGATGGAACAATTACTTCCAAGTTGACTCTCGTAGGTCCAGTGGGTTGCAGGCCCATCATGATGTAGGGTTCCACTGCACCCATTGTGTACCCGCGATGAGTTCCGTAAAGCAATTGGCTGCTTGGAATTCCTCGTGCAAAGCCAGACTCAGTCCAGGGGCATTTTTGTCGGTGAACTTGACTGCCTGCAGTACTTGGTCAACCGCGTCCCTCTGCAGCCCTTCAAAAACTCTTTGGGGACAAGCAAAGGAAACCTCTTGCGGGACTTGTATGGCACCTCCTTCTTCCCCTATAAAGCACGGTGCAGTCTTGCTAGCGCAGCTGGCCGGAAACCACGCCAGTAGGGCCGAGACTCCGCTGACAAGGTCTACACCGTGCCGAGAATGGGGCTGGTTGGTGACTACGACTTTCACAGGGCCACTGGGGGCACGTTCTCGGTTCACGTCTGCACTCTCTTTGGCTGCTCCAATCAGCTCGGAGAGAATTGGACGAAACCAAAACGTGGCATACAGCAGGCATTCCGTCTTTGGAGTGGCCAGAGACTCTGCTCGTCGAGTTAGCGAGCAGATGTACTGCGCAAGTGTTTCGGCAAGCCGGAGCGTGAAGTTGCGGGCTGCATGCGCAAATACTTCCTCCACCGTATCGATTGCATCAGTCTCGCCAGCCCCTTCAGGGCCTACCAGGGGGCTCGCTCTCAGGTGAACTTGCAGTGCAGGAGCCTGCAGTAGCAGTGGTTGCAGTCGGTGAGCATCAAAATAGTGGATGCCTGGTATTAGTAGTATCCGCCGGTCTTTGGTGGCCTGATGGAAATATATCTTGCTGCCCTGAGCCGGTGAACAAGAACCGGAGAGCCATTGTGGGAAGCACAAAGCCACAGTGGAGATCGATATCCGTCGCCTGCATAGCCATACAGGTACTCCCGATCAATGGAACACGGAAAGAAACTACTCGCCGTGAGACGATGGTCCCGACTGTGGGAGGCTAATGCCGCAATGACCTCCTGCGTAAGCCGCAGCTTCGACTTCTGCGCAATAACCAACCTATACCTTCTCAGGGAGCGCACTCCATTCACTGTCACTACCATGGCAATGGCAAGGGGTGGTTTGTCTTGCGATGTAAAGGGTGTGTTGAGTCCCCACTCTAGGACCGCTTCTGCGTCCGAGGGTTCTCGCTTAGGCTCATGATACTGGACTAGTCTATTTTTGAGGGTATGATACCCATAGTGATAGACCGCTAGCGTTTGAGGGATCCCAATCAGCCCAGCCATATCAATGGGAGAGACAATGTACGTGTGTTTAATTGCTCTTGTGAGTGCCACTGTGGCTCGTCCAAAACAGTCTTCTCTGTCTTCCAACGATGCCCCTCGACGGCGCCCGCTACCTCACCTGTCTGACTAAGGAAACAGAAGTCAGCTTGGAGTTCAACATCTTTGGAACCCTCTTTCTTGCGACTGTGCTGAAAAACTGATCCACCACGGTTGCATTCAAGGCACTGTGTATTGAACGGCATGTGACCCTGTCTCCTATGTTGTTCCGGCTGCGATGTGTCCACATCACTGGTTCCACTTCCAGACAAATCAAACGTTGTCTGAAATTCTCGCTTTTCGAAAAATCCAAACGCAGAAAACTCGTGTCATGCAAAAAACTGTTGTTGGTTTCATGAAAAAACGTGTTGTTTGTTTTAAAAACTGTTTCATGGTCTAAAACACATGTTCCAAACGATTCAGAAACGTCCATCTCACAGTCGCTGTCTCCCAAAAACAAACCAGTCTGACATGTTTCACTGCAACATCCATCAACACGCAAAACAGGACTCAAAATCAAACTGCCTACGACCTTGCCTGTTCCATCTGTCTGCTGTTTTCGTTTGCGTCTCATCCCAGTTTGCTTCGTTCCAGCTTGTTTCATCCCAGTCTGTCGTTTCCCAAGCGTTTGCATTCTGCCTCCTGCATGGACTCCACATTCCAATCGTTCCAACCATACTGTTCTGAGTGCCACCACTGGTCTTCGTCTGTCCACGTTTCGTTTTTCCAGTCAGTCCATTCCACTCTTGCTCCAGTTGTCCGGCTTGACAAATCTTTTTCGCTTTTCGATTGTCTTTGCCACCTTCTCCTGCCTTCATTCTGCAGTTCAGGCTCACATGACCATATACTCCACATTTGAAACACTTTGTCTTACTCAAATCAGTCGTACACTGAGCTGCTAAATGCTTCCGAAACCCACATTTGGTGCATCGCTCACCTGTGATTGCTTCAACTTGGCATCAATTGGCCCGACCAATTGAGGTAGTGTCATCTTAGTGTTCAGAATTGTGTTTGCACATTGCACTTACCCCAATCCATCTGGTAAGTGTCTGGGTAGGTGCCTTCAATCTCATTGACTCGCTTTGAATTCAAAAATTGTTCAAAATCTCCAAAAAGTCGCTCGGCAGGCCTCGTAGTGTCACCAGCACTGTGATGAAGACAGAATTTTTCACTGTCTGGTAAACTTCTTAGAAGTATCAACAGCAAATCTGATTCGCTGATCCTCAAACCAGTCATATCCATGGTCGCCGGCATGGTTGCCAACAGCTTTGAAAACCTTGCAACTTCCAAATCCAGTCGTCTGATGGTGTCTGACACCACCGTCTCCAAGGCTGAACGACTTCGCATCATTGGGCTTGCCCAATGTGTCTATGCGGAACTCTGCGTTGGTCGGGTGGTGGTGGGGTTGTGGAAGGTCTCTTGCCAAGTTGGAAGTTCCACTTCTAAACTTCCTTCCTTTCTGTCCAGTTGGACATTCATTGCAATTCACTGGCAACGTTTATTTCTTCAGGATGATGACGTTTCAATTTGGATGTCTTGGATTTTCAGTTTTCGAATTGGCAGTTGCTTTCCAGTGCGTTGAGTTCTTTTCAGTCGAAGCTTCATTTTCAATGTGTTGATTTTCTGTGCTGTCATTTTCACAGTTTGATTTGATCTGCTCCTGAATGTCTCGACAGTTTATGGTTTTACGATTCAAGTTTATTTTCAGTGTTGTGGCATTTCGACAAATTCTTGCAGGTTCACTCAAACATTGCGTTGTCACTTCATTGGAGTTCAAGGTCATTACGTATTCTCTGAAGCCCTGGCTTTGAAATTTTCTGAAGGTAGTGGGGCGCTTTGCCTTTCCAACAAATGGTTGGACGTAGGTAGGTAGGGGGCCGGCTCCGGCGCCATGGAAGAGTGGTGGCCCAATTTGAATGAAGGGATTCTTTCTCATTTGCAGCGGGTTTTCGTGACTCCTCTTCGTTTAGATGCTGCTTTTGACAATGATGAAGAAATTGCCATTTTACTCGAATCTGAATTCCCTGACATTCTTCCTGAAGATGTGCTGGATTCAGTTGCAGTCTTGTCACAGTGGAAGGAGGAGATGGCCAGGCCTTTGAAGCGCGCACGCGCAGAGGTCGTGAGAGGCGCGTTGTTTCGGCTGCCATTGCATGGGCAACTCACTGTGCAGGAAGAATTTTCCAGGCTCACCCGTACAAGTGCAATTTGCATACTTGAGATGCATGTCAAACAGAAGCAGAAGAGATACAGAGAAGATCCTGCAGATGCTCGGACAAAGAGGTATGAATCGGAGCGCAGGAAGTATTCGAATTTGCTGGCTCAGATCATCATCCAAGCCGGGCTCCCTATCGCTGAGCTTGTGAGAACGCTGGAGGACCCTCGGAGTGGCTGGTTGCATTTGTTTGCTGCAAGGCGTGGGAACACCCTGAAGAATAGGTACAAAGTTTGGAAGCCGTTTGAACAGTGGTTGGAATGGAACCGTGGGTACCTTTATCCCAAAGGGGTCAGGGATGCCATCGACTATTTGCAGCATAGAGTGGATGACGGTTGTGGGAAGACAGTTCCGCAATCATTGCATGCGGCCATTTCTTTGATCGAACAGCTCGGGAGAGTCCCCAGTGATGTCAGGATCTCAGAGGATCCATTGTGGGTTGGACACATCAAGTCTGGGCGGCGGAGTTGGCTGAAGATGCAGCACCCAGGAAGCCTGCTGAGATGTATACAGTTGCAATGTTGATTTCTTTGGAGCTGACCATTGTTGACGAAGCGGAACAGCTGTACACCCGTGCACTCTCCTGGATTGTCTTGTGCATGGTCTGGGGGGCGATGAGATGTGATGACATGCAATCCGCATTGCCTCACAGGTCTGTTTTATCCAACTTTGGATTGCGTTTGGTCTTGGGGCGCTCGAAAACAACAGGCCCTGATAAGCCCCAGAAGGAGGTGTCGGTCCACGTGCTGAGGACCACGTCGTTGACTGGAGAGGATTGGCTGAAGGTGGGTTTTGACATTTGGTCTGCCGACCCTTTCAATTACAAGCGTGATTACATGGTGATGGAGCCCAACAAAGGATGGGATGGAGTGAAAAGGAAGTTCTTGGCCCCTGCTGGACTGAGCAGTGCAGTCTCCAAGCTCCTTGGAGGCCTTGCGGTCCCGCGGAGAACCGCCCTGGGCTGGGAACTGATGCCGGCTCAGCATTTGCTGCCGGATGGGCTTGAGTCATTTTTCAGTGGGCACAGTCCACGGAACTTTGTGACTTCGGTGGCTGCAGCCTTGGGTTTTTCCAAGGACGAGCGGGCATACCTTGGAAGATGGAGCATGGGGATGGTGTCCTCTGAGGAGTATGTGCGCACCTCCCGTCAGGTGATTTTCAAGATCCAGAAGGCCGTCAACAAGTCCCTGGTTGATGGATCAGGGGACCCATTTTACGAAGATGAGACCATTGGCAAGCTTTGTGAATTTGCCTCAGCATCTGGGGCAAATCCCAATCGAATTAAAAAGAGGCACTCGGTGCTGGTGTATGGAGTACCTGGTGGATCTCCCTGCCTTGGTGGAGTTTACCCAACTCTTCAGGTGTTGCCGGAAGACTGGGATGAGAATGATGACAGAGACGGCACCGAGATGGACCTGGCAGAAAAGGTCGCTTCGCATGCTGCAAAGGAGGCATTGGCATCACAGCATTTGGGGAAGTATTTCATCACCATTTCTCGGAGGACAGCGCTCCGACGGTTGCACATGGCTGGATGTTTTGCGAAGCCCGATCGGTGCTGTGAAGTTTCTTTCATGGATGAGGTCCAGCAGGACTCTTTTGATGCAATCTGTCAGGCTTGCAAGAAGAGGATGATGGCTGAGTGTGGGAAGGACCCGCCAGAGATGTCCACATCCACGGCATCGTCTTCTTCGACGGCGTCAGTGCTCAGCGCCGGCGATCAGCCAGTTGGAGAGAGTTAGAACGCTTGCTTTGTTTCTTTCAGGTTGCCCCTCTCTGGCTTCCAGTTTGGCTTAGATGAGCCGTTGATCCCAGTCGGCATTCTTCCATGGTGAGGAAAAAACAGTGGCGGCTGTGGGTGTCAATCGTTTTCAGTTGAGACTGTCTTGCCAATTTGACACTTCAGTTTGCCATTCTGTCATTTCAGTTGCAACCACGTTTAGACGTGGAGAGTTGTCATGGACTTGTATGTCCTTGCACATGGCTCAGACCTAAGGGTGCCATTCAGGTTTCAACAAGCACGTTAAGACGGGCTGTTACATGTGCTTTCCATTTTTCATTTATTGGTCTCTTGTTGCAATGTGACTGGTGCATTCATTTCAGTTTCAACTGTCAGGGCTAATTGGATTCAGGTTTCAGTTGTTTGGCTTGGACCTCAATCGGCGTTTTAATGTCGCATTTGCAGTTGTTTGTTGCACATTGTAGGATCCTTCAACTGCTCTAGGGCCTCCTTTCACGGTCGCAATGGACCCTGCTGCTCAGAGAGAGTTTGTCAAGGATCACATGGATTCAGATCTGCAGTTCATACTTGGTGACAGCGGTGTTTCCCTGCTTAATCAGGTTGCAATTGCGAGGCACTACGGAACACTCAGGAAGTTCAACGCGTTGGGGGACGACAGAGCAGCGATTAGGACAGCTTGTTTGCAAGATTTTGCCATCAGTGCTGATAGCCCTGAAAGCAGGTCACAGATTGCTTCAATCGTTTCTTCTTGGGAGACAGCGAAAGAGTATCTTGCAAAAGAACTGGAACTGAGAGCGGAGGCCAAGGTGCTTGGACAACCTAGGATTCTCCAGATCCACGAACGTCAGGCGATGCTGAGGGCTGTCGAGGCCTTACATGGGGCTTTGGGGGATTCAGAATGTCCGGCTGCTGACTATTTGAGTTTGAAGGCAGAAGAAACAGAGGCAAACGAACCCACTGCCTCACCATTAGATGAGATCATCAGCAAGCTTGCTTCAGCGAGCTCCTCCATTCAATCAACTGTTGATGGCACAGGCCATATACGGGTTACACGTACCAAGACGAAGTCGAAGATGCCATCTACGACAGAAGAATACCGTAAGGTGATGAAGGTTGAGATGTTCTCATGGTTGGCAATGGCATCAAGGTACAAATCAAAGCATTGGCTTCATGGACTCACTGCAGATCCTTTCTTGAAGTTTGTTGAGTATGTGTTGGGAGATCGGGTGTACGGTATCCAGATACCAACATCGGAAGGGGCACAACAGAAGCTCCGCCCTGACTGGGCAATTGTGCTGGCCTATGAGCAGAAACTCCGGAAGGAGGCTATGAGGCGAGTTATGGAGGGCCACACACTTGCCGATGCTCTCAACTCAGTAATCAAAGATGCAGACTTGAAGGAAGCTTATTTCACAACCCCTGTTGCTTTGAAGGCCTCACTGAGTGACGCACAACCCAACAAATGGCAGAAGTTCAATTCAAAGGGTTCTTTCAGCGGCAAGTCTTCTCCAAGTTTTGCCAAAGGCAAAGGGAAGGGCAAGGGAAAATCCAAGTCCTCGAATCAGGCTGACAGTCGTTTGAAAGGGCTCAATTTGGCTTGGCGTACACCTGACAACAGGGAATTATGCTTCGCGTGGAACTCAGGGGATTGCCCAGGCACTTGTGGAAGAGTTCATCAATGTCGAGTCAAGGGCTGCTATGCTGATCATAAAGCGATAGAACACAAGCAGAAGAAGGACTCTTGACAGAAAACAGGTGCAGCTGTTGTTGACTCCGCTGCACCGACAACTCCTAGTTGCAAGGCGCCTCCATCAGAGGTCCCATGCGTCAAGGTGATGTATCTTTTCGCAGGGGCAAGGCGCCACTCAGATGTTGCAGCTTGCCTGAGGCAAGCCGAGGCCTCAGGGAATATCAAGTTAATTCTCAAAGAATTTGACATTGAGCGTTCCCCTGACCATGATCTCACCAATGTTGCTTTGTGGACCGAGATTCTTGAAACTCTTGATGAGGGTTCCTGGTTCATCATTGTGTCACCGCCCTGCAACACTTTCAGCAGGGCAAGATTTCAACGGCGCCATCCAGGCCCGAGACCAGTGCGAACGAAGGCATGGCCCAGGGGATTTCCATGGTTGAGCAATGCAAACAAACAGAAGGTTGCCGAAGCAAATTTTTTCGTTGATAAATGTATTGAAGCCTGCGAGCGTGCTGCCAACTCCAATGGGTTTTTCATTTTGGAACATCCAGAAGATTTGGGAGTTGTTGATGATGAGCATCCTGGCTCTATTTGGCAGTGGCCAGAAATTTTGGAACTCATTCCCAAATGCAATGCTTGTTGTTTTGGGATCCATCAATGTAGGTTTGGGGCCATTACACCCAAGCCGACACGTTTGTTGACCAATTTGCAAGTGTCTGATTCTCGCTGTCACATGTCGCTGCCAAAATTTGATCGGTCTGGTTTTTACAAAGGGCCACTGCCACGGAAATGTGGCCACCGTCATTCACATACTTTGATTGGAAAGACTGGCACTAGATGGAACACAAGCCCAAGTGCAGCATACCCGCCACAGATGTGTCAATTTCTTGCTAATTTGATTCTCCATGCAGCAGCATCCTTCGGTGGGGGGAAGGAGAAGTCAAATCACAGAGGTACTAAGAGAGGTTCTACAGCCTCTTTACCAGCTGCGAAGGCCTTGAAATCACAAGCTGGGCAAGTGCACAAATCGCCTCATGAGGTGCACTTGGTACAGGACTCTGATGAGGAGGAGACCACACAGTGTGATGGTACCGCTGCCACGGTTGAAACAACAGGCGATGGGGGCAGTACAGTACAGGCAGATACAACCACTGGCATGTCACATGTTTCTGGCGATTCATCAGGTTTTGCAATCACTGGGCAATTTGATGATACAACCACCGGCATTTCACAGGTTTCTGGTGAGTCACCAGGTTTTGAAATGAGGGCCTGCTTGAATGCTGGGGCACCTATACAGGTTGAATGGGATGGTGCTACACGTGGCTTCATCGATGGGTTTGGGCTCTGCAGTCCAACGAGATGGAAGCCGAGACAAAGGGGAGTGCATAGGACCCCAGCGATGGTCCAACTTGCTGCTGACACTTTTGACATCCTTGCAGAATGTGTTGATGAGTGCATTGCAGATGTACGTAAGGAATCATTTCGGTTGGTAACTGGCAAGATTCAGCAATCACCTTTTGGAGAAGAAGCTTTGAGGAAGTTGAGGGAGAAATGGGCAAATCTACTACGTGATCCTGCTGAGGCAAAGGTAGCGGATTCTGGCCAGCCTTTCTACTTGAGAGCTCTGGCACAATGGTTGGGCGTCTATGAGGACCCAGATGCACATTGGCTGGTTGACGAGTCAGATTCTTTTGCTTCTGGGGTTTACATTGGAGTGGATCAGCCATTGCCGAGATCACCACAAGTTTTTCCGGAGAAAGACAAACACCGCAAACTGGATGACACTGAATTTTCTCCCATTGCAGATAATTATCCGTCGGCACAGATCTCTGCAGTAGAGCTTGAGAAGAAGTTCAGAGAAGAGGAAGCCCTAGGGCGCATGCATCCCTCGAAATTGGGGGTACTCAAACAGGAGTTTGGTGACAAGCTTCGGGTGGCTTCGATGGCTGCGATTTCAAAGCCTGATGGATCAGTCAGGCCATTGCATGACGCCACTCATTCTGTCATGGTTAATCACGAGATAAGGTACCAGGACAAGATCATTTGCCCCGGCCCATCTGAGATTGCTGGAGTGGTCAGGGAGTCGACGGACACTGGTGAGGCACCGTTTTGTGTCAGCGCTGACATCAAGGCGGCGCACAGATTAGTCAAGGTGCGTCCCAGCGATTGGGGATATCTTTGCTGCAGGGCCGACTCTTCATCGGATGTGGTGTGGGTCAACCGCACCGGGACGTTTGGAGTGTCCAGCGCACCATATTGGTGGTCGAAGTTGGCGGGCTTGATTGGACGTTTTGTCGGTTACATTTTTCACGACAGATGGTTCATGCAGATGATTTACGTTGATGACCTGCATGGATCATTCGTTGGGACCAACAAGTTCAGGTTTTTATGGATATGGATCCTTGCTTACGAGATGGTTGGCACTCCATTTGGGTATCACAAGTTCAAGGGCGGATTCAGCTCAGAGTTTGTGGGTTTCCATATCAGGTATGACCTTGCTGAGGTTGGGATTTCAAAAAGGCGTGGTGACTGGTTGGTTGACTGGATTATGAAGGCAGCTTCCAACAGGTATGTGGTGCCTTCTCGTGACTTTGTTGAGTTTCCTGGAAGACTTGGGTTTGTGGCCCAACTCATCACTTGGCTGAAGCCACATCTTTCACCCTTGTTCGCTTGGGCATCAGTCACCTCGAGGAGCACGGTTGGGAAGCTGCCTGAGACGGTCATTTTGACCTTGCAGTACATTTTACGTGAGCTCCAGTCGGAGACATACATGGTGTCGACACGGCGGCCTGACAGCTTTGAAGGAGACCAGTTCAGGACTGATGCAAAGTGTGCTGATGGGTACATTGTTTTGGCAGGCTGGGAGCTCGGATCCCGACGTTGGTTCTCTTTCAGGTTAACACCCGACGAGGCTCCTTTCTTGTTCAAGGAATCAGGGCAGTCACAATGGTCTTCGACCTCTTCAGAGTTGCTGGCCACCTTTGCTGCCCTTGGTACTTTTGGATGGTTGACGGCAGACAGGCACCGGAAGTCTCTCACCATTGCTTTCTGTGGAGGAACTGACAACAAGGCGAATGAGTCACTGACAATTAAACGGGCCACGACGAAGTGGCCGTTGATGGCCATCAATATGCAGCTCTCCTCTGCCCTCTCCAAGTCCAGGCTCTCCCTTCGCCTTAAGTGGCGTCCACGGGAGGAGAACACGGAAGCAGATGATCTCACCAATGAGAGGTTCTCCGATTTTGACCCTTCAAAGCGGGTTGACATTACTTGGAAGGATTTAGATGTGTCCATTTTACAAGCACTGG